ATATAAAATGCCTTTACTGTCACTTTTGATCAGTTTAATGCATCTTTGTGATAGATAGATAGATAGATAGATAGATAGATAGATAGATAGATAGATGCATAAACAACACATACAAAACGGCTATAGTGAAACAACCAGCTGGAGTATGGGCTGGGAGAAGCAAATAAGTCATGAAGCAAATAAGATGAATTCAAATTCCCACACCTGCCACAAGCAACCACATGAATGCATCTGCTCCATCCTCCAATGACAGCGAATCTGTAGACTCCACAATCACTGTTATACCAACACACATCTGCTATCAAACATACATAAACAGGAGCTTTTCAAAAGAGAACTAACAAGCATACAGTACTCAATAAAAGATAAAACAGGTATCTTTCCATTTAAAATGTATAATTACAAACATAAATAATTTGTAATCCATATCAGTGCATTTTTCTGCACATGTAAATATCAGCACTTGCGGTTTGTTTTTGCATGTTGCTGCAGAGGGAGAGTACAGGGACTCTAATGCCTGAGGCAGTCTGCCTGAGAGTTGTATTTAGATATGGTGTTTGTGCCTTGTGCCCTCTTTATAGGGCCAGCTGTAAGTTGTCTGTTTGGGATACTCCAGATGTTTGCCCATAAAGACAAGGCACTTCAAACAGCTGCGAACAACGTTCTAACCCCCTTGCACTTCCACCATGTTTAGAGGTGTATGCTGGGGCTTTAGCAGAGGGGAAATGACTCCGACTCTTACCCTGTAATCATGGGGCCGGCTGGCCAGCATGTCGAGGGGGAGGAGGGAACCTGCCAGTCACTTTCTATTCCGCATATTCTAGCACTGAGGGGAAGCCCTGAAACTCCATGAAACCTCCAGTTTCTCACCTTTCCCAAGGGAACTTGAACTTGACACAAGTTGCTCCTGTCTGGGAATATACAGGCTTTATATGAAAGCTCAGAAATGAAGGTTCTTCATTGGACCTAAGCAGTGCCTTTGGTTTGGACCCTCTTTCAAGAATTTGTTGGATATGTTTTGTTAGAGAGTCAAAAAGATTAATGTTACATACTTTGTTCTTCACAACAGCATATTGGTTTCAGGGGAGTTTAAATCAGCAATACATCGATTTAAAAAGTGTTTCATGGAAACTTAAAAATTTCTTCTAAGACAAAAACTGTCATGATTCATTACAGCCAAAGAGTTTTGCCAAAAAGTACCACACTGAAAATGGTGTAGAAACTATTTACACTCAGAAACGGCTAGTAAATTTCCTAACTAATTACAAAGAAATAGAAAATAACACATTGAATTAGAGGGACAGTTCACGCAAAAATGAAAATGTACTCACCCTCAAGTTGTTCTAAACCTGTACGAGTTTATTTCTTCTGTAGAGTGCAAAAGTTGGTATTTTGAAGAATGTAGGTAACCAAACAGCTTCTGGTCCCCATTGACTCCCACAGACTTTTTTTTCCATACTATGGAAGTCAGTGGGGACCAGCAGCTGTTTGGTTATCTACATTCTTCAAAAATATCTTCATGTTCAACAGAAGAATGAAACTCATACAGATTTGGAACAACTTGAGAGTGAGTAAATGATGACAGAATTTTCATTTTTGTGTGAACCTTCCATTTAAATTTGAACTTTTTAAGTAGAAAGACTAAAATAGTATTTTCTTGTAAAACATACTCCACTTTTTTCAGTGTAACCATTGATTGCAGCTGAGATGAATTGAGAAAAAAACAGTAAAGCTCCCCCCTGATCTTTATAGCTTTAAAGGCCCAGACCTTTGTACAGAACAAGAGCGGAGGATTTCATCTGGCTTTAATTAAAGTAATGCCAACAAAGTGGGTCATGTTGGCACAACATGGAACAAGAGACACCTAGTCAAAACACACTTTGAGGGCTTCAAAGCGAATAGTGACTACCTGCATGCAGCACCGACATACAAATACTTCAGAGGTTTACTCAAGCCTGTGTTTCCCCAACATAGACAAAACCACCTCAACCAACCCTATGGTCATAAAGAACTCAAGCGTGAACTCTAACACTGGAATTAATTGCAAAACATCATCTGGATTACTAAGGAAACTGAGGATAGACATATAAAAGGCTGAATGAACCAGTATTGTTGATATGACTTTGTATGTCTGTTCTGCATATTGCACTTGAAGCAATGCTTTGAGGTTTCCACAAGAGGGCAATACATAAGTAGAAAAAGTGAGCAGATGTAGTGGCCTGAAAATATTGAAATACAATACTGAAACTGTCATAGGACATATATGACACAAATATGCACTGTTCAACCAACAGATATCAATTTGAAATGAATTTGAAATGTATCACTTTGATTTGAATGAGCCAATCTTGAACCATAATGATATAAAAATACAAAGAGAAAAAAAAAAACAATCTGTTCTTCGTTATCAACAAAAAGAAGTGCATTAAACATTACATTACGTCAGGGTTTATCAGACTGGGGGTTGTGAAGGAACTGCAGGGGGTTCGTAAATTGAAGAAAAGCTAATAATGAATTAAATCCCAAAATTGTTCAATTAAAAGAAAAAAATACATTTGAATATAAAAGCAATCAAAATAAAACAAGTTTAAAAATTTTTTTTTTTAAATATTTTATTTGTTTATTGACCTCTATTTTCTGTGCAAGTATAGCCACCTGACCAGTCAAAACTAGAGGACTTCCCAAATATAAGCAATATGCTATTTAAAAAAATAATAACAATAAAAAAAGAGTAAAGGATAAGACAGAGGAAGTTATGACAAGGTTGACATTCACTTGTCATTAGAACTGTTACATTCTAGGTGAGCTTTCGCTTCAATAAAGTGTGCATCTGAAATGAAGGAGGCCAAACTGTAAACATCTGGCAATATGTATTTTACTCTTATGTGCGTCATAAAGCAGCATCGACCCAAAAGTAAACACTACACGTGATTATCCTTACTTACTTAACAGGGGATCTCCCCACATAGCTCAAAATACTCCAATGCACAAAGCTGCACATTTGTGAATGAGAGACACAAAAATAACATGTTCAGTGCCTCTCTTTAAGGGTAATCATATTCTATACAATACTTCTGTCATGATTTAACATCCTGTGTTTGCTTGTTCAGAATAGAGTTCATTAAGAGGCAATGTGGAAGCATTACAAAATACATCCAGACAAGACCCTTTGATCTACTGGGTCTGCATTACATAATAATCATTTTCTTGCACAGCCCAGTGGGTTTGGTTCGAACTGGCATCTTTCATGAATAAATGTGATTATTAGACAATAGAGACTGACCAGTGAAGGGTGTGTGAATTACAGATTTCATCTGCAATCACTGTAGTGTTTTTGGTTGGGGTGCAGGGGTCAGATTTTTTTTGGAGCAAACGGAATGACAGCATAGGTCAGCATTCAGACTTACATCACTTCCTCTGCACATTTTTGACAAACAGCACAAAGCCAAGCTTTCAAAGTGATGTGACATCAATGAATACTAGTAACAATGAATACATATCATAAATAAAAATATACAATCCATCATTTAACGAGTAAACACATATGTGTGCTTAAAATCTTAATTGACAATAAAATAAAATGTTTGAATTAAAATTACTTGTTTTTATTTATTAAGAATGCCTTTTCATTCAGTATATGTCGTTTATTTGACTCTTCTTTGTAACGAGTCATTCAAGTCCAAAAATCTTATGGAGCAACAAAATTGCCAAATTGCAGCGATTACACAGCGCCATCTAGCGATCACTGCAACGAAGTGGAATTGCAAGAACCCTGCAAACGGCTGTTTGGGGAATTTTAGAACACATTGCAGAGAGATATTGTCACCTATTCACATATTTTATGCACGATCAATATCAGGTCTATGAAAAACACATTGGTCATTTTCAGCCTTTTCATGAATGGGAATATTTACTCAAAATTACTAACTTCTCTGTAAATCCAACGGGCTCAGCAATTCACAAAATATACACAATACGTAAAATGTATATATATATATATATATA